GAAGTGGCGCTGTAGCTCAAGTGGTAGAGCGCTCGCCTTGAGCTGAAGAGCTGAGGGACAGCGCCCAGGCCCAGAGTTCAAGCCCCACGACTGACCAAAAAAAAAAAAAAAAAGTTATAGAACCCTTCACTGGAAAAGTGAGAAGGAACAAACAGCATTCATGACACAGGATTGGAGAAAGGCCTGGCTATAATGTCAACTTGCTGAAGATATTTTATTTTTTTCTTTTTTTTCCATTCTGGGGCTTAAACTCTGAGCCTGGAATCTGTTCCTGACCTTCTTTTGCTCAGGGCTAGTGTTCTACCCTATGAGCCACAGTGCTACTTCCGGCTTTTTCTGAGTAGTTTATTGGAGATAAGTCTTATGGACTTTTCTTCCCAGATTGGCTTGGAACTACGATCCTCAGATCTCAGCCTCCTGAGTAGCTAGGATTACAGGCATGAACCAATGACACCCAGCACCAAAGATATTTTCTCTAGCTTGCAAGGTCTATACTCCACACATTAAAAGGCAGAAGTAGCTGGGTGCTGGTGACTCACGCCTGTAATCCTAGTTTCTCAGGAGGCTGAGATCTGAGTATTGTGGTTCTAAGCCAGCGGGACTAGAAAGTCCCTGAGAGACTTATCTCCAATTAGCCACTCAAAAACCAGAAGTGGCGCTGTGGCTCCAGTGGTAGAACACTAGTCTTGAGCACAAAGAGGCTTGGGAGAGTGCCCCAAGTTCAAGCACCACAACTGACAAAAAAAAGTAAATAAATAAAAATATATAAAAAGCAAAAGTGATCATAGAGTATAATTCCCAGAATTTAGAATCATATTAAAGGTTACTTCTCAGTTCCTTACAATTCTGCTTTTCTAAAAGATATAGACTATTATAGTTTTTTTTTTTGGGGGGGTAGGGAGGTTGTTGTTTTTAGTAAAAGGAAATTATATACCCAATTCTGAATAATCCAAGATCTCTCCTGATTTTACCCTGGGAATTTACCTTGCCATATAAATTCTTAGTTACTACTACTGAGTCTTTTGAGAATAAGACCCAGGAAATACTGTGCAGTGATTGAGAGATGGATCACAAGAGTCTAAATGTTAACTATACTTCTCTACATCTCTACTTAAAGTCAGGAATCTTTCTAGGCCAATAAATCTTTCTAGTACCAATAATTCCACCTAAAGGCTTATTGCAAATACAAAATATCTTGACAAACACAAATTTTAGGACAGTGTCTAGTACATAGCAAGTACTCAGAAACACAGTTAGGTAACACACCTGTGGCACAGCTGAGCTCATTATTTAGAGTCATAAGCACCATGGGCAGAAATGGGAAAGAATATCACACATCTTTTTTTTTGGGGGGGGGTGGGGAGGTCCGGTCGTGGAGCCTGAACTCTGGGCGCTGTCCCTCAGCTCTTCAGCTCGAGGCTAGCATTTTACCACTCAAGCCACAGTGCCACTTCTGGCTTTTTTCTTTTTGCTTATGTGGTGCTGAGGAATTGAACCCGGGGCCTCATGCATGCAAGGCAAGTGCTCTACCACTGAACCACCTTCCCAGCCCACACACATCTTTTTCGTTTTGTTTTGTACCAGAACTAGGGCTTGAACTAAGGGCCAGGGTGCTGTCCCTTAACTTTTTTTGCTCAAAGCTAGCACTCTACCACTATGACTTGAGTCATAGTTCCACTTCTGAGTTTTTGTAATTGGAGATAAGAGTCTCAGACTTTCCTGCCAAGACTTTTAACCACAATCCTCAGATCTCAGTCTACTGAGTAGGTAGGATTACAGGCTTATCGGCACTTGGCTCCCATCTTTTGAAGAAAGTAATACCACCTCTTCCTTTTTCATGGTTATTTCTGTTAATATTTGACTACTGATAAACCTCTAATCTACTGTTGTTTCACAAGGATTACATGTCCGTATGCTGTTTGCCTTTTCTTAAATATTTTAAAAATATGTAACTTATCAAGAACCTCAAATATACCTTTGTTCAATAGAGGGAAGGTACGAAATTAACCATAAAGTTGTCAGACTAAAACCTCCTATGGGAAGTGATATTAAAAAAAAAAAAAACATAGGAGGGGAGAGAGGACAAAAGGACAGTTAGTAAACTGACAGTCAGATTTTATTATCCACAGAAACAACAGATAATAATAGATACAAAGTCCTTACTGACTTACATGGGAGCCTCTATCTGTTCTTCTGGGGGAGTTTCACCACAAACAATGGGACCAAGCACTTTTGTGAAATGAGGTTAAACCATGGGCAATACAACACAAATGTGGCCTCAGCCCACTGGCAACACGGGAAAAAACAAATCTAGAGAGAAAGTAAACTGTGATAAAGAAAATGTGGGAGTAAGAGGTCCCTCTGCTTTGGAAGAACCAAAGGCTAAGGTTTTCCAAAATCCACTCATCTAGCCTTCCCATCCCCCAACTCCAAATGCTTTCATCCCAGCCAATATACCACTTGCATGAACCTAACCTGACTGTGAGGATAAGCACAAGTTATTCATGGTTCCTAGTTCTCCAAGACACACTTGTATCTCCACAAACCAAAGATCCTGCCATCATATACCCTTATCTCCACCATGGATATAAACCATCTTGAGCTACCTGGAGCTTTGAGGTTCAGTTTTAGATATGCTGGGCCCCTGGGCTACAGAAAGATAGAGCAGATGCTATTCAACATTATGGTTGATATACATTTGTAGGAAGGCAAGGATTTTAGGAATGTTTTTTTTTTTTTTTTTCCCGTTGTGGGGAGGTATTTGATTTTTATTGAGACAGTGACTTGATACATAGCAGACTGGCCTTGAACTTGTGATCTTCTGCCTCAGCTTCCCAGTGCTGGGACTACAGGCATATAGCACCATGCCTACCTGTAACCATTTTTTATTTTATTTCCTAACTCCAAGCCTATAAGCTTTTTGGTTGTTTTGTTGTTGTTGTTTTGACTGTATTTTTTTTTTGTCTTTTCTTTTTTGGTACTGGGGATTGAACTCAGGACATTGCACTTGGTAGGCAAGCACTTTGCCACTGAGCTACATCCCAGTCCCTTTTTTGAACTCCTCTCCCCATGCTGTGTAGGATCTTTAAACATTTTGTAGGGTTCTCAGGCATCTCTCTCCCTAGCTTATACTCCTAGCCATAAACACTTAAGTATTAAGTCTTACATTACTTGAGGTCCTTAGCTCTACCTCCTCAGACTCACTTCTCAACTACTGTGAGTAAAAGAGGATATCCCTCTTTACTGGACCTTATGCCTCATCGTCACTACACCCCATCAGATTCTGACATAGGACATATCCTCAGGACCACCCTCCACTCCCAGGTGGCTTCTCTTGCACTCACCTTACTGAAAGAGAAGACTGGGATGGTAGGCTCCATCCACTTAGGAACCTGAGGATAATCTCGTACATTGATCACCATCTCCATGTCAGGGAGGCGCCCAATGACTTCCAAAATAAAGTGCTCAACCCCGCTACACCTAGAAACCAGAAAAAAATAAGTCACCAGAGCATATCTGGTGACTAGGACAAACAAGGGTCTTCTCAATCAAAGAAGTCAGGCAGGACAACACTCAGATTATCAGCAACAATCTCTTGAGAGCATTCTTCTTTGTCTTGGTGGCTCTGGTGTTTAAACTCAGGGCCTGGAGCTTGCTAGGTAGGCATCCTACTACTAGGTCTTCTTGCCTTATTTTTCAGAAGGGGTCTTGTGCTTCTTGCCTAGGCTATTCTCAGACCATAATCTTCCTATCTATGGCCTCCTGCATGGCTGGGATTACAGGGATACATGATCATGCGCAGCTTATTGAGATGGGATCTTGCTAACTTTTGCCCAGGATGGCCTCAGTGATTCTCCTAACTTCTGTCTCCACTGTAGCATGAGCTATAGTGCCTAACCAAAGGCATCCTTCTAAGGACTATTTCACTTTTCTATATTGTGGAAGTTAATCATTTCTAAGGTTTCTAACTATGAACAAGTGTGTTACTGTGCAAGTTATCATTCCTTACTAAGCTGTTCCAGCTTATAATACTTAATGGATCTTTCCAAAAAAATCCATGTAAGTTTGAGGGGAATACTACTGCTAACACTACCCTTTCTCCTTTATTCATTCCCTTTTTTCACTACCCCTTCCCCTTCTCCTTTATTCTTTGCCAGTCCTAGGGCTTGAACTCAAAGCTTAGGTGTTATTCTTGAGCTTATTTTTTTTCAAGACTAGGGTTCTACTTGACCCACAGTTTTCTGTTTTTTTTTAATTTTTTTGGGGGGTCCGATTGTGGGGCCTGAACTCTGGGCCTGGGCGCTGTCCCTCAGCTCTTTAGCTCAAGGCTAATGCTCCACCACTTGAGCCACAGCACCACTTCTGGGGTTTTTTCTTTTTGCTTATGTGGTGCTGAGGAATCAAACCCAGGGCCTCAGGCATGCAAGGCAAGCACTCTACCACTGAGCCACCTTCCCAGCCCCTTGACCACACAGTTTTACTTTCAGCTTTTTTGTGGTTAATTGGAGACAAGAGTCTCACAATCTCTGAGTTTTACAAAGCCTGAGCTGTCTTTGAACCTTGATCCTCAGATCTCAGCCTGCTGAATAACTAGGATTATAGGCATTTCCAGCACATGGAAACCCAAGGTTTTCTTTACTGCTCTGATAAGGAACAATTTAATTACATGGAAATATACAAATTCTCACAGGGCTGGGTGCTGGTGGCTCACGCTTGTAATCCTAGCTACTCAGGAGGCTGAGATCTGAGGATCACAGTTCAAAGCCAGCCTGGGGAGGAAAAACCTGAGACTCTTACCTCCAATAAACCATCAGAAAACCAGAAGTGGCACTATGGTTTAAGTACAATAGCCTTGAGCTGAAGAGCTGAGGGACAGTACCCAGGCCCAGAGTCAAGCCCCACAATCAACAACAACAACAAAAAATTCTGATAGGAACTAAAAGAATTTCTAATTGTGGTCCATGGGCTTTGTTTCCCACAAAGACACTATAGTTAGGGTCCAGAATATCTCCAAAGGCCCATGGGTTTGGTCTGGCCCTCAGCTGGGCACTATTGGGAGTGGTTAAAAGAAAACTGTAAGAGAAGGAGCATAGTTGGATGTTTTAGATTACTGAAAGTTTGCCCTTTAGGGATATTGTGGGCCACTGGTGTGTCTGTCTGCTTCCCTACTACAATGTGGTGAGAAGCTTGCTCTACTATATACCCCTGCTATGATGTGCTACCTTTACACAAACTCAAAGGCAATGACTGAGGACTGTAAGTTTTGAAACAATGAACCAGAATAAACCTCCTGATCATGGAGCATCATTCTTTGCCTAGACTCACTGGGAATTCTCAGAGGATTTCACAAAAGCAAAAGAAGTTGTAATGACAGCTTAGCTGGTTTCTATCTGGCAGCACAGAAATGACCAATTTAAAAATTATTTTAATTTTCACAATTAAAAAATAGAAAAAAAAATTAAAAGGAACTCAATACGATAAAGGAATTAAAGACATTAAAAAACATTAAGGAAAGCATGAATCTGATACATGTCAGAAAGTGGTAGCATCAGAGTTAGGCAAAGCACCAAGCTCATGTAATGAATGAATATTAATTAGGCATTTGTAAGCACTTCTTCCTCTTCACAAGAGCTGTCAACAAGGAGAAATAGGCTGTGTATAGTCTTAGCATTTTTATTCAAATGTATTTGAAGAAAGAAGGAGTGAGACAAATAAAGCATTTATGTTGGTTTTGACTTAAAGGATGAAAAAGAAAAAAAAAGGTATTTAACTATTTCCCCATGCTCTATCCCACACAACAAACATGTGATGCTGAGCATATGGCATTTCTTTTGAATATGATGAATAGTATAGCTTATTGAATAATTAAATAAAAATTGAAAGTTTACAGGAAAAATATAGTACTGGTATATGGTTTGGGAACTCTCTTCACCAGGTTTACAAACTCAGATTTATGGGATAGGTAATGAGGAAGCGGGTAACAAAAGCCTGTGCCTTGGCCTGTGAATTCACTGTGCGCCTTGCTAATGAGCACAAGGACCATCTTAGCTCTAAAAGGGGAGAAGTAGGTATTTTAGGACAATGCTCAAGGTCACTTCTCTAGGTATTGGTGGATTTATCTAAAAGTTTATAATTTTAAAGAAAAACTGAAATACATTAAATATAAAAAATTATTTTATATAAAAGGAGATAACTAAAAATAAAAAAAATCAATGAGATGGGCATCAGTGACTCATGTCTGTAATACTATCTACTCAGGAGGCTGAAATCTGAGGATCACCATTCAAAGCCAGCCTGGGCAGGAAAGTCTGTGAGACTCATCTCCAATTAGCCACCAGAAAACTGGAAATGGTGCTGTGGCTCAAGTGGTAAAGCACTTGCCTTGAGCTGAAGAGCTCAGGGACAGTGCCAAGCCCCAGAGTTCAAGCCCCACGACAAAAATAAAAGATCAATGATTGATAAACATGTGTAAAGATGTTGAAAGGTATTTACATAGCCCTGGTGAGGGAGGGTATGACTTTTATTCCAAGCATACAATACTAATAGCAGAAGTGTAAATAGGCACAACTTCTTTGGAGGACAATTGGCTATATTGATCAAGTTTTGGTGGTGGTGGTGATGGTGGTAATAGTGCTACAGTTTTAAACTTAGGGCCTTACACTTACTAGACAGGCACTATACCACTGTAGCTATGACCTCAGCCTTGTAACCCAGATATAGTCCACATGCCTGTAATTCCAGCATTTGGGGGATGAAAGGAGGAAGACAGTTGAGTTCCAGGCCAGCCCAGGCCACACAGTAGGACTCTGCCTTAAAAATAATTATATATATATATATATATATATGAATATATTATGCATTAAATATTAACCTAGTTATGGCACTTTTAGGAATTTAGTCATATACCCTACATATATTTTTATATGAATGTTCAAGGTACATGCAGAAGAATGTTGACTACAGTGCTGTTTGGATTAGCCACATTAGGGGTATGGTGAGGAATAATGTGAGTGTTCATTGATGGATTGTATAGTCATGGAAGTGCTCCATTGACATGCTTTCTCTGAACCTGGTCCATAACACTCATTAAGTACCTATGCATCTCTTCCTCCTCCTTCATCCCAGCTCAACCCGCTAGGGGTCAGTAACCCATGTCCTGCATTCCTAGAGCCAGGGAAAGAAGAGGAGAGGTAGAGCCATAGCCATTACAACCATTGCCATATCCCAGCCTCATAAAGTCAGAGGGGACAGGCTTTAATAAAGAGCTGGCAAAAAAAAAAAAAAAGAGTCGCTGGCAAGGAAAGGAGTTCACAGTACTTTGTAGTCCCCCTGGAATGTGAGGAGGAACTCCCTAGACAGTCCACTGTACTAGCTTAATATAGAGTAAGCTTGTATGTGATAAGGTGAGGAGAGATGTGTACCTCTACCTCTTAACTCTTACCTTGAGGGGAACATGCAGTCATTCTCTCGGTATAATCTGTTCTTAATTATCTGATAGTGGGTTCCTAGTTTCCTTCTGATCACCTCTGCCATCATCTTCCTGGAGATACCTCCCCGGAAAGGAGTCAGATCTTCTTCTATGACACTGGGAAGGAATGGGAATTGTAAATGAAAACAAGCCAAGGGAATGAGGCCAATTCCTTCTATTTCCTAAGTATACTTCTGTTTGATACTAGAGAACACAGTACTCTAAGCGCAAAGGCAGAAGGCAGGAATGAGCAACACTTCCTCCAGAAGCACCACAGGTAATGGAAAAACATCAAACACAACAAAGCCACAAAAAGTAAGATCAAGTCAATGTCTCTCTTTCTTCCCTCCATCAGGAATGCCCCTTCCTTAGTGATCCATATTCCTCTTTCCTACTCATGCCCTATCCATGCCCACCCAGCCACTTCAGACCTGCCAACCGCCTCTTTTTCTGGATCCTACAGAAGGTAGGTTCATATCCCAGTCCAACACTGTCTGTTCCCCTACACATGCTCAAAAACCTTGACTGAAACAACCAGAAATAAAACTAGCTTGGGCTGGATGCGTGTGGCTACTCAAGGAGGCTAACAAAAGAGGATCATTGTTTCTGGCCAGTTCAGAAAGAAAAACTCTTGCTACACTCGCTCTCCAAAAACACAAGGTTGGAGGTGTCTCAATAGTAGAGGGCCAGCCTAGCAAGCATGAGACCCAGAGTTCAAACCCTAATGCCACAAAAAAATAAAAAATAAAACTCATTAAGTTTTCAGTAAATACCATTAGCCTTCACTAGATTTTTGAGAGATCAGAATAACAGGACAGATGAGGAACCTGGAGTCCCAGAGAACTGAAGTGGCTTGCCACTAGGTAATTAGGATATACAAGTCTGCTTTTAGCATATTTACTTTTTACAATACATACCAAGTCCTAACTCCAATTTGCATACTTTTAAAGACAACCAACAGGAAGTGAATACTGACAAATACACTCACTCCCTCAACAATACTGAGTGCATTTACTTAGTCCCAGCACCAAGGATACAACTGAACAAACAGGCTGGGAACTTGGATTCGTGGTAGAGTTGCTTGCCTACCATGCATGAAGCCCTGGGTTCGATTCCTCAGTACCACATACACAGAAAAAAAGCTGGAAGTGGAGCTGTGGCTCAAGTGGTAGAGTGCTAGCCTTGAGCAAAAGAAGCTCAGGGGACAGTGCCTAGGCCCTGAGTTCAAGCTCCAGGACTGGCAAAAAAAAAAAAAAAAAAAACTGAACAAAACATAGACCCAGACTTTAAGCCACTTTCAGTCCAGGGGAAAACCAGTCCAACGCATGCGATACATCCCCTTGGGAAGCAGAGGTGATGTGGAGACCAGTGGGTCTTTCCTATCCCTGGGCATTTTCACTCCTTAGAACGAGAGGGCACTTCAGGCAGCCTTTCTGCTCGCCAAACGTTGCAGGTTCTCTGACCACCACTACCAAGCTCTTGGGGACAGGCTTGTGATAACAACTCACCCATGATAGCAGCTGCAATTCTGACTTGAACACGGTTCATAATTCTCCAAAGACCTGTTGATTTGGTCAATAAATACTTTCCATCTTGAGCCTTCAAAAAGGGAAGTAAAGGAGAGTTAACAGAATACCTCCCCCTGGCATTCTTATTTGCAAGCATCAGGCAGAACAAGAAAAACCAAAAAATCTCCCCTGAATTCCCCTTTCCCGCCGCACCGGGGGAAGCGAAATGCCAAGAAGGATTTCTTTCTGTCACCTGACAGGCGTCTGACCGTCGACCTGGCCCATCTCAGGTGTCCAAAGCATTGGACAATTCACAAGCTTAAGACTCCCAAGGGCTACAGACACATTTTGGGGTACAGAGTCACTTACAGATTCTCCCCCTTCTCATCGAAATAGAACCCCATAAGGAGAATCCATTCAAAGAACACCGGGCTCGGGGTACCCCCCTCTCGAGGGTGGGTGACTGGGGCTTCCTCCGCCCTCCTAACCCCCTGCTTCTCCAGGGTCCCGGGCGTAAGCGGAGACGCAGACAGCGGGTCTCTCCGGCCCACACGCGCCTCCGCATCCTCCCCGGCGTCCGGGGGACCCGGCGGGGCCACACCGCGAGCCGCAGCGGCGGGCTTCGGCCTGGGCCCCTGGGCCCGGAGCCCACCTGACTCCTGATGGCGGCCCTGAACCGCGGGCAGGAGTAGCAAAAGCAGCAGCAGCAAGAGCCGAACGGCGAAACTCGCCCGCCGCTCCATCGCCCGCAGACCCATTGCGGATTCCCCGCCGCGGCGCCGGCGGAAGCGCTGCCCTGCACAAAGATGAAGGCGGGCTGCCCGGCTCAAAGATGGCCGCCGTGGCCTGGCCCGGCCCGCCCTCCCCCCCCCCGCCCCCACCCCGGGCCCTGCTCCGTGCTTCCCAGCTGGCAGAGAAAACCCATTTGATAATGCATCCTTCTGAGATACATTGGGAACATCTTATTCTCAGCAAACAGGAAATTGAAGGTCAGAGAAGACACGTTTTCTTGCCTGAAGCTTCTTATGGTCATAACCAAAGGCTATAGGTCTTTCTATAGCAAACTGCTTATTGAATAGTATACAATTCTATAGTAACAGCAACTTAAGACACATTTACTGAAAAGGACTGCGTCGTTACTTGGGCCCACAAATTAAATAAAAGACGACCTTGGCATCCTTGCCTCCATGGTCTTTGTGGTCATTGCTCTAGGCCATTCTCTTTGCAGTCACTTTACAATCACCTTCAGCTCAAGGAAGGATGAACACAACAATATCTTTATAAGGGACAAAAACTGTCCCTATAAGAGCTTCGTACGGGCTGGGAAGGTGGCTCAGTGGTAGAGTACTTGCTTTGCATGCTCAAGGCCCTGGGTTCGATTCCTCAGAACCACATAAGCAAAAAGAAAAAAGCCGGAAGTGGCACTGTGGCTCAAGTGGTAGAGTGTTAGTCTTAAGCTGAAGAGCTGAGAGACAGTGCCCAGGCCCAGAGTTCAGGCCCCGCGACCGGTAAAAAAAAAAAAAAAAAAAAAGAGCTTCGTACGTACACCCTTCCTCCTCCCCCACAGACAAGGACAAATTGTACAGAAAATTCTGTACGTTCTTCTGCTGTTCTTGAGGTGGGCAGAGTCTATTGGTTTTACAGCAGAGACAGGTAAAGTTGCAACCCAGGATCAGGCAATGTCTGCTACTGCTGCAGCTTCACTGTCACTGCAGCTGCGTTAGCTTTCTTGGGTTCTGCTCTCACAATTTATGAATGAAATCCAGGACAAGGGATGGTGAATGTGGAGAACTCTTATTTACCTAAGTATCTGGGTCAAAGTCTGTTTCTCTTTCGGTAGGATTTCTCAATCTATTGTCATGTCTGACTAGAGACAAGTCTCTCGGGCTTTTAGTTCCCTGAGCTGTGCGCTGATTGGTTGCCCCTATGCAAATGAAGTGTGGAACAACCAATCCATCAGCGAAGTCCTGCTGAGTCACTGTGGATCATTCTGAAATTACACTCTCAATTTAGGTCTGTCTCTTGCATCCCCTACCAAGTAAGATTTAGAGAAACTAGGAAGGATGGAGACAGGACATTCTATTCTCTACAGCTGAGTTTTTTTTTTAAATTTCTTGTTATTCTAAAGGTGATGTACAGAGGGGGTTACCATTATATAAGTCAGGTAAAGAGTACATTTCCTTTTGGACAATATCACCCCTTTCCTTGCTCTCTCCCAGTTTTTCCCTCCTGTCCCTACCTATAAGTTGTTTATTTTCAATATAGTGTTTATGCTGCATTGGTTTCTCCTTTGTCCCTCCATTTTTGTGCCTCTCCATACACTCCTAAAGACATATAAATGAACAATCAAGACAAAAAGAAACGAATACAAGAACAGCAACAAAGGAAAAACAAAAACCTTTTTTCCATTTCCTGGAGTTCATTTCAATAACTATAATTTTGTAACATCAGATGCACATAGGCATTGTGCCTTTGTGTTCCTCTCCTAAGGGTATCTTCCTTTGGTCACAATATGTGAATGCCTTCATTCCTGTCTAATTTATCACGTTCCCATGTATTTTAGATCTAGTCTAGTTTCTGCATATGAAAGAAAACATGCACCATTTGACTCTCTGGGTTTGGCTTACTTCACTTAACAGAATTTGTTCTAAGTCCATCCATTTACCTGCAAATGATATAATTTTACTCTAATGGCTGTGTAAGATTGCATTGTTCATATGTACCACATTTTTGGGAATCTACTCATCTATTATAGGGCATCTTGGCTATTTCCCCAACTTGGCTATTGTGAACAGTAAAACAGTGAACATGAAGGTGCAAGTGTCTTTAAGGCATCCTGGCTTGTGATGTTCTGGGTAAATGCCCAGGAGTGGTGTGGCTGAGTCATAGTTAAAATCTATGTTTTTTTGAGGTACCTCAACTGCTGTCCAGAGTGGTTGTACTAGTTTACATCCCCACTAACAGTGCAGTAGGGTTCCTTTTTCCTCATACTCCCACCAATATTTATTGTTGTTGGAATTCACAGTGTTGGCCAACTAACTGGGAAGAAATTGAACTTCAGAGTAGTTTTGAGTTACATTTACTTTCTGGCCAGGAATGATGAGCATCATTTCTTTGCCATTTTTACTTCTTCTTCTGAGAAATTTAGTGATTGGTTTGTTGGGGTTGGGAGGGGTTAATTTCTTGAATTCCTTATATATTTTGGATATTAGGCATTTCAGATGAGTGTGTTTTTTTTAAAAAAAAACAATCTTGCATTACCCAGTTATCCAATCTTGCATCATTAGCTTGCCAACCTGCAACACATTCCAGTGCAAGTTGTTCTCCAGCTAAGGAAACTACCAAACTTTTTAACCTCTTAACTAAATCTACCTTTTCATAACCTGAATGATGAGGCTACACTCTGGAACTGGAGTAATCATTTCATGGGTACCAGATTGCTTCCCTCAAATGAAAAGAGTGACAGCTTCATTTTGATTTCTGATGCCTAGGACAAGTGATGTCATTCTGGTTTTGGTTTGGTTTGCTGTAGTTTACTCCAGGAACTCAACTCCAAACAGACTCAACTCCAAACAGACCATATTTAACAGCACTCATTTTATTTTCATGCACAAATCATCACATTTCTGTTACAAAAGTTCCTGTGCCATACTATTTGCAATTCTTTGTAGTCTAATGGTTTCTATATTCACATGCACAGAGATTCTGAAATCAGATTTTTAGATGCCAGGCTCAAACTCCTGGGACTCCACATATCAGGTCACTTTCACCTGCATGGCAAATAGAGACATGGTTAAGGGCAGAGAAAGGAAGGCACAAAGGATACATAATTAATAAACAGTCTCAGTCACATATGTTCTGGTGATGAGAGACAAAGGCACACAATCTGGTAGCTCATTGTCTCAAAAATGGTTATGTAGGGCCTAGTTGATCATTTCCTCAGTTCTAATTCTTCCAGAGCCCCAGAGAAATTGTTGCTGTCATTACTTGAAGGATTTCTAACTATACTTAACCTACTGCTAAACATTTCTTTCTTTTCTTTTTTCTCTTTTTTGTTTATATCCAGGCATGAAGTCAGAGCTTCCTGCTGATTATGCTTTCTTGCTCAATGCTGGCACTCTATCCAGCCACAAGACTGGCACTTTGCTGTATAATTGCAGATAGCTTTCCTAGGACTTTTCTGCCTGGGTTGGCTTCAAATTGCAGACGTCCTTATTTTAGCCTCCTGAGTAGCCAGGAATACAGGCATGAGCCACCAGTGTCCAGAAACACTATTCTGGGCTGGGAAGGTGGCTCAGTGGTAGAGTGCTTGCCTTGCATGCATGAGACCCTGGGTTCGATTCCTCAGCACCACATAAACAAGAAGAAAAAAGCCGGAAGTGGTGCTGTGGCTCAAGTGGTAGAGCGCTAGCCTTGAGCTGAAAAGCTGAGGGACAGCGCCCAGGCCCAGAGCTCAGGCCCCACGACTGGACCAAAAAAAACAAAAAAACCCCAGAAACACTATTCTATTCTTTTTCAGCTTCCACATGCATAAAAACATAATATTAAGAAATAATTTAAAGCTGGGCACCAGTGGCTCACACCTGTAATCCTAGCTACTCAGGAGGCTGAGATCTGAGGATCAAGGTTCAAAGCCAACCTGGGCAGGAAAAGTCCGTAAGAAAACTGGAAGTGGCACTGGGGCTCAAGTGGTAGAGCACTCACCTTAAGCTGAAGAGCTGAGGGACAGCGCCCAGGCCCAGAGTTCAAGTCCCATAACCAACAAAAAAAGAAAAAAAAAAAAGAAAAGAAAACGAAATAATTTTACAATGCTGGGCTCTGTTGGCTCGTGTCTGTATTCAAGAGGATAAGGCCTGAGTGTTGCAGCTCAAAGCCAGCCTGGGCAGGAAAGTCTGTGATTCTCTTATCTCCAATTAGTCATCAGAAAACTGGAAGTGACACTGTGGCTCAAAGTGGTAGAGTGCTATCCTTGAGCAGAAGATCTCAAGGACAGCACCCAGGCCCCAAATTCAAGACCCATGATCAACATACCCAAAATAATAATATTAACAATAATAATTTTACAAACTACACCCACAGAAAAGTGCTCAATGGATTTAAAACTAGCTTTAAAAGAAAATGAAGTTTAGATTAGTAAACTTTTCTTGTGAAAAAAATCTTCTTGGGATTGGTGATACAATGCTTTTTTTAAAAAACAACATTGATAATTTTTTTGTGTGTATGTGCTTGTACTGGAACTTGAAATCAGGGCCTTATGTTTGCTAGGCTAATGATACTACAGCCTGACTTTGTACTGTTACTTTGGAGATAGAGTTTCACAGACTTTTCTGCCTGGACTAGCCTCAAACCATGATCCTCCAAAACTCAGCCTCCTGAGTAATTAGGATTACTGGTACCAGCTACAACAGAGTTTTTAATGCAGAAGGTCAGGAAGTAATTAAGAGAACAAATACTAAAAATAAACCTCCTGAGCTGGGCATAGTTGTACACGTGTAATCCCAACACTTGGGAGGCTGATACAGGAGGATCAGATTTCAGACAGCTTGAGCTATATAGCAAGCAAGACCCAATCTCAAAAAATAAAAAAAAATAAATAAATCAGAAAATGTACAAGTAGTGCTGGTGGCTCACATTGATAATCCAAGGTCAGCCCAGGCAGAAAAGTTCATGAGACTCTTATCTTAAATAATCTAGCAAAAAGCTGAAAATGGAGGCATGGCTCAAGTGGTACAGCACTAGACTTGAGTGAAAAAAATCAAGCAAGAATAAGA